AWRWSAYAACGGCTCAGACGCCCTTAAGCGACGGTAAATCAAACATTTAAAAACTGATAAGCTATAGATTGGGTATGAATTGAACGTGAAATCACAAATCCMGGGCTTTGGCYTTTTYRAATAAACCTATATTTTTTCAAGATGAACTCATAAGTCAGAATCTTAGAGTCAGCCACTGATTTTCGGTCGAAAACGCGCGTTTGGTACATATTTTTTTGTTTGTGATGAATGTTGTATGTGTATCATATTTGTATATTATTTACTGTATAACTACACCATAATTTCACATATTATATAATAATATATTTTATATTACATATAATACATACAGGGTGTRAAACCATATATGTCCAATGGACATTGTCCATGGATCTAACACAGGGAAATATAAATACACTATAGTAGCCCACCCTAATGCCCTATAATAATATTATCAAACCTATATAATATATATTATTAAAGTACTAATGACTATAGATACTAGATATGTACGCACTTACTCCAATATTAGGTTATTTTATTTAGGCAATCTGAGTTGGATATGGTCTTAGGTCAGATGTCAGAGATGAACAACTACAACTGGTGGCATGCGTACCACTTTTATTTGGTCATTGCTTCATTTTCAAATATATAATATACAAAGTTTAAAAATTAAAATTGCTTCAAAGAATGTCGGAGAAATATTTATCTGCTGTATTTTAATACTACGTTTTTCGTATAAAACGTAAATATTTATTTTTATCTATTATTGAGCTGCAACTAAATTACTAAATGTATTCATAAATATCACGATAAGTAATAGTTTTTATTTTATTGTTTCAATATTCAATACCATTCTACTATCCATTATGACGTCACGATGTCATAGTTTTATTATTAATATTTGATTTGTAGTGCTTAAAAAATGTCAGTAAAATATTTACTCTGCTGGCTAGCTAGACTTTAAATTTTAAGTTGCCTATCCTTGCTACAGTTTTACAAGTATATAAGACTTTAAAATCCAAAATAAATTTCAGAACTTTACAGATTTTGGTTTTAGATTTTCAAAATCAATATTATGATTTCAAATTGTAATTATCGTGTATATGTGTATAATAAAATGTAATATTAAAATAGTCAATAATGTATCATTATATTTACATAAACTGTGTTTTTAAATGTACAATTATAAGACAATACTAGCTGTATTACCCGGCGTTTTCTGTGGATTAATAAGACCTGCAAGTAGCATCAGAANCCATTACCTTTTTTAAATCCAAGTGCAATTCGACTAAAATAAGTGCAATTCGACCATACCCATGTAATCGTATCCTGCAATGCCAAACTTTGTCGTATTATATATACTTATTACATACCGCGGTATATAAATAATATTAAACTGCATATGGCAATAAGTATTGGGTTTAATCAACCGAGTAGACTAATTTTTTGAAAAGCGTTAATCGGATTAAATCTCACGTCCCATTCGTTTTCTACAGGAAGGTACCATCGGGGATCATTTGGTGGTGAAACCCGTCCCAACCGTGTACAGGAAACACGTMCAGTCCACCACCCCAGACGACGAGATGTTCTTGGATCAAGAGTCCCGAGACGGCGAAAACGAGGTGTCCGACCAGGGTTTTCCGCTCAAGTCACAAAAATACGTGGCACATCACAAGCACGTAGTGTACAGGAGGAATCCCGAAACTGACCGGACAGTGGGAGATTATGGTAAGATGACGCCCCGGTACCGACACATAATATATTAAAACCATTATTTGTAACAAATTGTATTGTCGGAAATTCGAAATCCTTTCGTTTTCAGCGCTAATGGAACCGGACGCGTTGCCGAGGAGTAGGAGGAAAAGATCGATCTCCAAGCGGGAAGCGCCATACGCCATTTACCCGGAAATAATGGTCATCGTCGACTATGACGGTTACAGGTACACGCGCCGTCGTATAATTTAGATTTAACGGATCACGACGATGATAATAAAATATATTGAACACGATTTAACGCTACACGATATGCTAACATAATAATGTTTATTCATACATAATAGCTTTGTAGCACATTTTAATAATAATAAATAAAAAACATTTTTCGATTTGTATATACAGGTTGCACGGGGGAGACAACGTACAAATTAAACGTTACTTTGTRTCATTCTGGAACGGCGTAGACCTGAGGTACAGACTACTGAAGGGCCCGAAAATACGTATAAGCATCGCGRGCATCATTATATCGCGGGTAAACAAAGTATAAGTATTAAAGACATAAAAATAATAATAATAATTTTAACGCGCAACGAGGACAGTCATCAAAGCGCCGGCATGCCGACGCTCTCGTCGGTTTCGATTCCGATTTCTTCGAAAAGAGCTTTCTTTGGTTTCGGGCAGTTCTCCAAGATCGAGTCCAATATGTCCATGCACATGCGTTTGCGTTTCCTGTATTCTTTGGTGACCATTTCGTATTTCTTCTTCACTTGTTCTTTATCCTTTGATGACACTACGTCGCCACTTGTTTTCGAAATTTGATTCAATTGCGATTTTAGTTCGGATACGGTTTTTTCCATTTCGGCCACTTTTTGCTTTACTTCCTCGGTGCTGTAGGTGCCCTGGAGCGCTTTCACTTCAACCTCGGATTCTTTGTACTTGCGCTCGACTTCGCGCAACGCCTCGTTAGTTTTCACCAACTCCTCATCAATCGACTGAATTTCATTTTGGTCTTCCACCGTCGAGTCCGGTTGAACTACACAGTAAATCTTCTGCTTGCCATTCATCTTCATGAAGATCTTGTTCTCCTTTACCAACTGATCGAGAGCTTTTTCCACGGCCGACTTTCCGATACCATTACGCTGTAGATTTGAAAACACATCGTTGCTACTGAACGGTCTGTTGACTTTCACCATGAACTCATAAACGCTTTTCTTTTCCGATCCCATGTTTGCTGCTGCAAAAAAAAAAACAATCTATTAAAAAATCTATTCATAAAATGCGATTTTTAGGCGAGAGATGCAACACCGTATTTGGAGAGGAATAGAGTCGGTAGAGACGCCATTGACTCGGCGGCTGCACTCACGGATATGGGTAAATACCTGTTCAAAGAACGAAGACTGCCAGTATACGATATCGCCGTAGCCGTCACCAAGTAAGCTGGTTCTGAATCTGAATAGTCTATGAATTCATAAAGAAAAAAAAAAAACATTAAATACAAATCAGTTTTTATTTTTTAACATCTCGAGTAAAAATAGATTTATTGCTTTTACTCCGAGACCCTACAAATTGATATTTGTGTGATAATATAAWATGGGACATTATAACCGACAACCAATGCATTTAGGTACGACATGTGCAGACGTCGAAAAGGAGGCCGTTGCACAAAAGGAACGGCTGGTATGTGGTAAATAAAAATAAGAGGGGAAAAGTGCTTGGTAGGGTGATAAGGGAGAATTTGTACATACTGCAAATTGTCGGCCTAAGAACGACACTTATACTAAACATCCTTCTGGGTTCGATGGGGATAGAGTATGTTATTATTGTGGTACTTATTGACGGAGCTTCTAACGTGTGTAGATGGTAGATAATTAATACTCAATACTATAATCTATATAACTATCTATTATATAATTAAACTGTAAAAATATATCATGTGTTATATAATACTTATACAATATACAAAATATCATATTTAAACCACTTCGTATTAGCGGACCGAGAGAGACGTKATTGAGTCCAGAGCAATGTAATAAATGACAATTCAGTACGGACTAAATAGCATATATAATGTTTCATTTTCAGATTAGACATGTGCAGGCGACAATACCCACACGATACATGCAACAGGGGTACCGCAGGTATGTCCCTGAAAATCCAAAACATAACAGTGCACTTGTAATTTGTTCGGCCCCCGGATATCATTTCGTTTCTCGCTCAAATAAATCGCACTTACAATTAAACATTGTATTATTATTATTATTTTTTTTTTTTGTTTTTTTGGCAAACAAAGGTTGCAGCAATCTTGATTCATTCACTGTCTGGCACTGAAATTCTGAAATTACCTGGAAATTATGTATTTAAGGTCACCATTATATCTTCTTTTACACTGTTATATATATATTATCATAAAAATTGTCACGTGTCTATTTTTAAACACTATCAGCAGAAAAAGCTGTGAAATGTTTTTTTTAGCATTTCATGACAGACAYACACACACCAAACACACAGCGCGCGCTATCACTCGTATACACTGGACACACGCAAACTCGTGACATGTGGTTATACTGGTGCGAAACTGGTTAGCTATTAATGGGTTATGCAAAGCTTTCTTTACGGTGATTTTTTCCTGAATAATAAAAATCAAATATAATTACTTATATTTGTGTATGCTTTTCTAACAAATATTCTATGAGTACATGCATGTATATAATATAAATTATATAAATAAATATATTATAAACTTATATCAGCTGCTCTGAACCGGTGTATCTAACATTATATACAAGGTAAAATGATTTAACAACATTACACGCTTTCCACTCGAGTGTGTTGGATTAACAGTTATATATAGTTGCACTTCATCGACGGACTGTCCCCCGGTAAAAATTGCTACCTAATTAATAATAGTAATAATATTTTTTTTTCACAACACTTGCGTTTGGGTATTGATTGGGAAAAAACGAAACGACTTTTTTTTTGTTCAAAAAACAATCGCGTTTGCTAATCTCCGTGTTCACTTGTATATAGGATTTGCGTACGTAGGCGGTGCTTGTGTAGTGAACAAACGTCTCGAGAAAGTCAATAGCGTCGCGATCATCGAGGACACTGGTGGCTTTTCGGGCATCATCGTAGCGGCGCACGAAGTCGGTCATCTGTAAGTCCAATCGCCACCATCAACCAAAATATATGATAAGCCACAAGATTTGTAAATCGCTGCAGGTTTTATTCTTAGCAGTGGCGCACAAGTCTTGCGTGTTTGACCGCGATTAGTAACCATGTGTGTGTGTGCRTATCGTTTTAGGTTGGGTGCGGTTCACGACGGTTCGCCACCGCCGACCTACCTGGGCGGACCAGGAGCGGAGAAATGTCGCTGGGAAGACGGATACATCATGAGCGATCTGCGGCACACGGAAAAAGGATTCCGGTGGTCACCGTGCAGCGTGTCATCTTTCCATCATTTCTTAAAGTTTGTACAACATATTCTATAGTCGATAAATTAAGTCTATTATGGGACATGATGGATGCTTGTAAATAATTATATTATGTTCGGTCTAAGACGCCAATGTGGGGTAAAGTGACTTAAACGCTCCGGGAAATGTCCCTGCGTCACTTGGAAGTAACGAAACCGTTGCCCGGCTGACTGTTGACGTCATTGATTATAAGCTATTGATCATGAACCGAATAGACATATAATGATATATATTGACAGTGAATTAAATATTTAAATAATAATAAAATAATTTTTCCGTAGTGGTGACACGGCTACGTGTCTGTTCAATTCGCCGCACGAAGACGAGTCACTACCAAGGATGTTGCCAGGAAAACTGTTGACTCTGGACGCCCAGTGCAGAAAAGACCGAGGGACCAGCGCCTGTTTCGTGAGTTATAACATCAAACGCATTGTATTGATATCATAAAAAAATAACATTTATATTTTGTTTGTCTTGCAGAAAGATGATCGGGTGTGCGCTCAGCTGTTCTGCTTTGACGCAGGTTCGGGTTACTGCGTGGCGTACAGACCCGCGGCCGAAGGATCACCTTGCGGAGATGGACAAGTGAGTGCTTAAACCAACGTTTGAATAAAAATGTTTTTTTTTGTACCTATTCGTATCGGAAATTGTACAAGAAAGGGGGGAGAYGTGCGTGAATATTTGAGCAGATAATTAACACATAATATCATTATTAGGCGGTTTTCTGATAACATAAACACACTATGATTGGTATGTAATACTCATAGAATAATAGGCTATGAATTATAGACTCAAAAACTAGTCAGCTAATTTTGACGATAAACTTAGTGATTATCCAATATCCATAGAGATAAGTACCGTGGAAGTTTAGAGAGTAGTTTGAACCACGTTCTATATGAAATAATTGTAATGTATAATGTTGCTACTGTTATAAGTTTTGGTTGATGTTGATGAATCGAAACTTATTCATTCGGTAAATTCAAATCAAAAAATTAATCATTGTCGTCACTCTGTTGAAACTTGTAGCATTGCACCAACGGCAAGTGCATAACGGAACACGAGAACATAATACCGGACTTTTCGCAAAACACGCCAGCTTATCTGCGCCGGTTGGGAGACGAAGGAGAAGCGACTCAAGACTGGCCGCAGTTTTTGACTCCTAACGTCACGACACAGAGGTAAAATCAAAAACAAAAACGCACTGGTTGCAAACAACKCGTAGGTACGACGATTCCGGTGACAGTCGTAGTGTATAATCGATCGYCTTTAATAATATCCCATATATAAGACGCACGATCGACGACGATCAGTGAAAGTGTGTGTTGTCTATACCAGCGTTTCCCAACCTTTTTGCAATGGCGACCCATAMATTTAATCTTTATTAGGTACGCGACCCCCTCCCCTTAAAAAAAAATATGCCTTAAATAAATAAGATTTTTAGTATAATCCATTTTATCATTGAGTTTTTTTATAAAATACAATAAGAATACAATATACTGAATAATAATAACTTAATTAATAAATAAATAAAATAAATAATACAAAAATACAAAAATTAGTATAATAGAAAATTTAGTGTGAACATCGACTAGTCACTAGTCATTAGCACATTTACCGATAAGATAAAAAAAATTCCATAATCATAATAACTTTACGTCATTTATTCTACAATACTAGTTATTTAAACTATTTATCAATTTACGACTAAAATAACTGTAATCGTAACCACGAGTCGCGACCCATTAAAAAAATTTCGTGACCCATGGTTTGGGAAACGCTGGTCTATACTATGATATACTGTAATTAGATCAGGGGTGGGCAAACTTATTTAACGGAGGGCCAACAAGTAAGCCCATCCCCGATTTAGATTGTTCGTTACTTTTACAYTGGTGCCGGTATCGATGCGACGACAATATTATTATTTTTGTATACCTGAAAATAACACTGATGTGCTGCAGTATAGATACAAGGCATCTTGTACTTGGATGTTTTTTTTTAAATCGATTAAGTATTTCTTGATTCGTTGACTCAGATTCTTAAACAACACGAAAAAAATGTATTTTTATTATGTTGAGCTAACAGTTCAAGTTTTTTTTAAATCAAAAACAACAMAAACATKMAACTGTTACTAACGTATTTATATCTATACAGGTGCAATAAAAACGCACAAGRGATGATAAATTTATGTTATTAACAGGTAATAATATAATTTGTCGTTGCAACGTACCCATAGCGGTACGCACTACGCACACGCTTGTGATGTATTTGTTTATAAATTTATAATATGCGGTGTTAATATATAAAATGCGTGTTTTCGACTAAAAATCGATATGGCAGTTGAGATATTAGTATACCGTAGATAAGTAAAAATTCGTCAAATAATATTGTGATAGGTGTAGATTTTAAAGAAATGTCGATAACATTTACAACTTACATTTTTTTTTAGAAAAATATGATCTTAAGGGTGTCAGTGCCAGTTTTTCCAATGTTCCGCAATATTCCAAAACATTTGGAAATTATATTTAATATTTTAGTTACCTACTACTTTAATTGTAACACTTAATCCATTAATCCGCTTCCAATACCTATTTAAAAGGGAAGGGGGTTGTACAATGATTATACCAACGAAAATGACTTCACTGCAGGAAAAACCTCTCATTGATATATCGAACTTTGATCAYTTTTTTTAAATCTAATTTTTTCAGGTCTGATCAAAGCCTATATTTTCATTTTACTTTAATTAGTGCTAAAAAATACGTTTGAAGAAGAATAAATATTATGCATTATTCATATGTAGGTATATTTTAATTTCTATAATAAATTATAATTTTGAAGATTTAGATATGTACCAACCTGATAAATGTTATCTTATTTTAAATAAAAAATAAATAAATCCGATTTCATAATGATTGAAAATGGTCGTGAGAGTTTTTCCTGTAAGACATGTTTTTTTACTAAATGACATAACGGCTCAGACGCCCTTAAGCGACGGTAAATCAAACATTTAAAAACTGATAAGCTATAGATTGGGTATGAATTGAACGTGAAATCACAAATCCMGGGCTTTGGCYTTTTYRAATAAACCTATATTTTTTCAAGATGAACTCATAAGTCAGAATCTTAGAGTCAGCCACTGATTTTCGGTCGAAAACGCGCGTTTGGTACATATTTTTTTGTTTGTGATGAATGTTGTATGTGTATCATATTTGTATATTATTTACTGTATAACTACACCATAATTTCACATATTATATAATAATATATTTTATATTACATATAATACATACAGGGTGTRAAACCATATATGTCCAATGGACATTGTCCATGGATCTAACACAGGGAAATATAAATACACTATAGTAGCCCACCCTAATGCCCTATAATAATATTATCAAACCTATATAATATATATTATTAAAGTACTAATGACTATAGATACTAGATATGTACGCACTTACATCCAATATTAGGTTATTTTATTTAGGCAATCTGAGTTGGATATGGTCTTAGGTCAGATGTCAGAGATGAACAACTACAACTGGCGGCATGCGTACCACTTTTATTTGGTCATTGCTTCATTTTCAAATATATAATATACAAAGTTTAAAAATTAAAATTGCTTCAAAGAATGTCGGAGAAATATTTATCTGCTGTATTTTAATACTACGTTTTTCGTATAAAACGTAAATATTTATTTTTATCTATTATTGAGCTGCAACTAAATTACTAAATGTATTCATAAATATCACGATAAGTAATAGTTTTTATTTTATTGTTTCAATATTCAATACCATTCTACTATCCATTATGACGTCACGATGTCATAGTTTTATTATTAATATTTGATTTGTAGTGCTTAAAAAATGTCAGTAAAATATTTACTCTGCTGGCTAGCTAGACTTTAAATTTTAAGTTGCCTATCCTTGCTACAGTTTTACAAGTATATAAGACTTTAAAATCCAAAATAAATTTCAGAACTTTACAGATTTTGGTTTTAGATTTTCAAAATCAATATTATGATTTCAAATTGTAATTATCGTGTATATGTGTATAATAAAATGTAATATTAAAATAGTCAATAATGTATCATTATATTTACATAAACTGTGTTTTTAAATGTACAATTATAAGACAATACTAGCTGTATTACCCGGCGTTTTCTGTGGATTAATAAGACCTGCAAGTAGCATCAGAAGAAGCAGGACTTGTATTCAAAATAAAAATCCAGAATTTGAAAAAAAAAACTATTAATTTTTACATAAACCGAAATCTGTAGATTTTTTTTAATGGAAATTTTAACTTTGATTTTTCGTAACTCATTTTTTTTTTATAACACTCTCCCCCAAGATTATATCCCAACGGCGATTATGTATTATAATATGTTATCATTATTGTACRAATTTTCCTTCTACCCCCTCCTTCTGTATTACAATAGCAATGAAGAATGAACCATATATATATTATATATATAGGGATCGCTAAACATATTAAATTTAATATTAGAAAATTTGGCGGCGTTTTAGGTCAGTKTGGAATGACTATTGGAGGACAACCCAAAAGACTATTGCCACCACCACTAGTACTAGTAACAATCAGCACCCCCGACCGCAAAACATGTACGCTCCAAACCCTTACCAACAACCTCCACAGATAACCAAGACTAACGGCGACGTTCATGACGCGCGATTACCTACATACAAACAACTACTACTACAACAACAACAACTACAACAACAACAACAACCCCAAACTAAACAACAACTATCACTAGGTAACGGCGACAAAAACGAAGACCCGTTGGCCGCGTTGCTTAAAAACAAATACTACCACTCGGGGCCGCAAGAGTTGAAAACCGTCGATCGACCTCAGTCGTCGTCCAACAGTAACGGCGGCGGCCCGTACGGTAAGTGATCGAGTTTGCGTGAAAGCGCTGCAAAACAAATTGGGGGGGGCCCACCCACACATCACATTCGATCACAATATCATCATCATCATCATTTCATTGTTATTTTTTTATCTTTTTTTTTATTGATCTTTATATATATATAACTCGGCAGCAAGGGCCATTAGTTAATCTCTTAAGTACTAATTATTGTTATTTATATCATTGCGCATACAACAACAACGAAAAAATAATAATAATTATGTACTGGCTGGAACGAAACCACTTCACTATCTGTCTTTATTTACGCCGATGATCTTCATCGTCTAATATAATATCACACYCGTGTACACTCATACATTATATAATAACAATATAATATTATAACATTATTATAAAACGGAACACTGCACGGACGACGACTGCGTACCTACACGTCGTAGTCATGTCGCACGTGTATCATATAGACGGTACAGGTATTGTATRTTGTATGGTACACACAACATTACAATAATTTAATGCGTACGCGTATATAACATTATATTATTTATCGTAATAATGAATGCATCGTATAATATCATATACACGGGCTGCAGGCATGGGCGGATAGGCCATTTTTGGCTCACCGGAAAATGTTAAAWAGGGGCCTCCACGTGAATACAATTTAATAATATATGATATTAAAGGGCCCCATGACCGAAATACGAAGGGGGGCCAACCGGAAAATGGCCGATTGCCCGGTAGGCCTATMAGCCTATGGCTGCTGCAGGGTGGTCCGGATTCCGCGTTACAAAAACATGTTCGGACGGATACAGCTATATGACGTGCGGGATATTCCACTAGCTCGGTGTACACCCGTAGAGGAGTAAATTACCATACACCATATTATAAGTATTCCGAAATCGAGTCGACTCCCTACAAAGATGGCGCAAGACGCGGRCGATCCWATATTTTATTATTAAATTACGATACAGTAAAACCTCTCTATAACGGACCCTCCATTAAACGGAAAATGTCAATAGTCCCAGAGCAAATAGTATATATAATTTCTACCTCTCTATGACGGAAAACGCTTTGTAACGGAAAAATGTTTGGTTCCAAGCGATTCCGTTGTAGARGTTTCACTGTATATAAATATGCCCGAAAGTCGTATGGGTATGCCTACCTAACAAAACTCCGTAAAATATTTTGTCAACGACATCTTTACACGTTGTTCGTCTATATGCATTTACAAGCCGCTTGCACGGTGGCAACCATACAATCATTCCGCTATATAAACACTACTTATGCTAGTCACGAGGCGCTCCATTTTTCTCTTGTCCTTGTATTATATAGACGCGATCTTTTTTCTCGATCGACCAATCCTCCCTCGGGTTGTACACATWGAGAGGAAAGAAATTAATAACTCATTAGTCATTATWTACTATACTTTAGAAAAAAATTGAAGAAAACGAAAATTCTATGTATTATTGTAATATGCCGTGAAAAAAGATTGCGCCCTATGCCGTTGCTAACAGTTCGGAGTAATACCGCAATGTCCGCAATGTTACACCTCGAACGTTTAACCAAATCAAATTATATGAATAAAAAAACAACTAATTGCGGGTAAAGTATACTCGAATAACACACGCTTCTTGCACTCACGCTAATCCCGCCGCAGTGATGATGACGACGTCATTATTATCACTTATCGACCGCTCATCGTCCATCAACCGCCTGTGATGACYAAAAGCTGGCACAATCTCGCATACATCATTAACACAGCTTGAGTAGCATAGTTTAACATTATACTGCGCGCTTATTGCATGCCTAACGTAATACATAACATTAT